CACCCATCCCTACTCTCAATCAATCCAGAATAATACCAACAAATCCTCCCAATCCGTTGCAGATAATTCGAAATCGAAAAGGAAAAAGAAAATCAAAAATCATGGTGCGTTGCGGTAACAAACCTAGCCGGGCTCCTGAACATCATCACGCTCGTCCTCTCGATCCCGATCACCGGCGGTGGGATATGGCTTTCCCTGCTGGCCAACACCGAGTGCAAGCGGTTCCTCGACCGGTCGGTCATCAGCGATAGCCTGGCTCCTCGTGTCCATGGTCGAACTCATCGCAGGGTTTCGTGGCTCCTATGGGTGTACCTGCAGTGCTGGTGATAATTGTCCTCCTTTTCTGCTTCACGATCTTCACCTTATATTAATAGATCACGCGGACGGTCTCGAGTGTATGCCATTAAATTTTCTCTGTATTATTTTTATGCACGTTTTGCGCCTTAATTTTGAAGAGCTCATAAAAAAAAAATTGTATCAATTAATACCCTTTTATACACAGGTTTTCTCTGCTCGTTTATCTCCACGAAAATTATGGAATGATTTTGTTAAGATATTAACCAAAATAGGAGGATTCTGTTTCCACGAAAATTATGGAATGATTTTGTTAAGATCTTAGCAAAAATATGATGATTCTGTTTTTTTTTAAACGCGTTAATGTTTGAAAACACGTGAATTTGTTAGGATAATTATCTTATGCGATTTCTTAGAATGAATTTGTTAGGATAATTTGTTAGGATTATTATCTACCAAACAAAATAGGCGTGAAGAATGGTGATAAGATAAATATGATTTAAAAGAAAAAGAAAAGCAATAAAATTTTTAGGATACCAAAGCGTGATATTTAAATGACTTTCTACCAATCTACACAAAACGTGAAAATAGGAGATAAATTAGGAAAAAATTAAAACAAAAGAAAAGCAATAAATAAGTCTTTATTTTTTAGATATTTAAAAGACTTTCCACAAATGGGAAGTCAAAGTCTTTTTGACCAATTTTTTAAAACTTTCCTCAAATGATTTTTTTACCTTTCTCTTTCAATTATTATAGATTTTAAAAAATAAACTGACGCTACAACAAAATGATGAAATTAAAAAAAAAATATTTCAATGGAATCTCGACGGGAGTGCGATGAATACTTTAATGTTATTACTTAGTGGGAATCTTCCAGTTGATTCCAACTAAAATTTCAAAAAAAAAAAAGTATTCCGTGAATTAGTTATCCATTAGAATTTCTATTGAACTTTGATGATTCCAGCAATACATTTTTCAATGGTTGAAACATGGTTCAAAATAAGATTTTCAACAAAACTGCATATTATAACGGAAATTTCTACAACAATGAACCGCTGGAAAAATTATCGTTGGAATCATCAAATTCTAATAAAATCTCATTAAAAAATTAATTCCAACGGAATATTTAATGTTGATCTCTCTTTAAAAATCCGCTAGAATTTGCCAAGTAAATTATAGCATGAATAATCCATTGGAGTTTTCATTAAGATATTTTACTATTGGACTTTTCATTGAAATATGGTAATATTTTACTATTGGACTTTTCATTGAAATATGGTAACATTTTTGTAGTGCAAAAATAATGTAATTTAGAAACTAATGACAAGAACAAATAAAAATATATATATATATTTTGTTTGTCGAAACGGTAGAGGCTTTATAAATAAACGCACAAAGTGCAAAGATACAACAACTAGCTGAATTATACAACAAACGACTGAGAAAACTAGGAGGACAAGTCCGAAGACCGCATAGATCTGAAAACTAGCAATGCTAGAATACTCGACGACACCCTAAAACACAAACACACTACAGAAACTAAAAGCTCCCAATAAGAGAATGAGAAAACGACCCCAACAGGGTAATGCTCACTCACTACCCGGGCAAACCAGGGGCCAACGGCCCAAACCAAAACACATGACTGAACGACAAAACACAAGACTAAACAGACAAACTGAAAAACAAAACTAAAACAAAACTACAAACTAAAAGGACGAAGCCCTCCTCGGCAGAACATCCGAAATGATTATAAAACAAAGGCCGACTCCAAGGAGAGAATCGAAGCACATGACCCATGCCCTCCACTGCCTATCGCCTAGCAAAGACGAGGACCCGAGTCCCGAATTAATCCAAACAAATCGACCCGCTCTCCAGCCGTAAGAAGCCACAATCGCCCTCCAACCGACTAACACCACTAGCCCAGTCCAACACCGTCCCGAAATCGACTAACATATTAGCCAATTCCAGAAATGGCTGGCCTCCCTCGGACTCCGAAACAGAGAACAAGGTAGGAAGAAGAACGAA